GTCTCCTGTGTAAAGAATGAAAGTCTACATTGTTAAAGACTCATCACGTACAGGTTGCACTGTCTTATGTTTCTGAAACATGACAGATAAACAGCTTATGGTAACAGCCCAAATCGTAACGCTCCCTATGGATTCACCTGGCTCCTCAAAGGGAAAAAGGGATCTTGCTAGAAATAGCCAGCACAAAGCAAAGCGTGTCTGAGAGCTTTAGCAACTGGAGCAACGGGCTTCTTATCAGGCATTTCTAAGAGACCATCAGCTCTCCCGTGCTGTTCCAGGGAGGTTTTTAAGCAGCGAGGCTGCTCCGGGCGCACCACGCAGCGCCGTTCGCTGTCGGATAGCTTTGGCCCTGAGAAGTTTGCTCTGGGGCTTCACGGAGGAGTTCCCAGATCTCCAAGGAGGCATCAGCTCTTTAACAGCTTTCAGCACAGGCCGCAGTGCCCCAGCCGGGCGCTGCCTCCCACCCTCCGCGCGGCCGCCCCGCAGCTCCCCGCTGAGCAGCGCCGCCCCCCGGCCCCGGCCCCCGCCCCGCAGGGCCCCGCCTCGCGCCGCACCGCGCACAGCCGGGGGGACGGGACGGGAGGGGAGGGAGAAGGAAGGGGAGGAAGGGGAGGGGAGGAAGAGGAGGGGAGGGGAGGGGAGGGCCGGGTGCTCACCGGGCTGCGGGGCCTCGGCCGCCCCGTTGGAGCGCTGCCCCCGCCCGCAGCCAGCGGCCGCCTCCGCCGCGTCCTCGCCGGGCGCCGCCTCCGCCCCCTCCCCCCGGCCCCGCTGCCGCGGCGGCTCCGCCCGGGCCAGGCCCCGCCGCCCGGCCCCATTGTCCGCGCCGCCGCGGCCCCGGGCCGCCGCCGCCTCCCCGCCGAGCCCCGAGCCCTCCGCCCGGACGCGGCCGCCGGCGCCCGCCCGCTCCCCCGGCGGCTCCCCGGGCGCGGCGGCGGCACCGGGCGGTGGCGGCCCCGCTCCCCGCTCGGGCCGCGGGGCGGGCGCCGCGCCCTGGCCGCAGCCGCCGTCGTCCGAGGCCAGGCGCTGGCGCTTGGGCGCGGGCTCGGCGCTCGGGGCCGCCGCCGCGGGGCCGCCGCCGGCGCCGCGGGCCCTGAGGAGCGGAGCCTCCCCGTCCGCCATCTTGGAGCAGCAGCAGCCGCCGCCCCCCTCCCGCCCGGCGCAGCGCGCAGCAGCGCCGCCGCCACAGCCCCCTCCCCCCCCGCCCCGAGGGAGCGCTTTAACCCCGGCACGTGACCGCGCCGCCGCCCACGCGGGCACCCGCCCCGCGGAGGCCGCAACAACAACAAACCGCGTCACGTGACGGGGAGGGGGGCGTGCGCGGCCGCCGGCACGTGACGGGCGCGCGGCGCTCAGCCCCCCCCGCCTCCTCCCCCGCCCCGCGCGCCGTGGTGGTTGCCCGGCACGTGACCGCCTCGGCGCGCTCCCGCCAAATGGCGGCGCGGGGCCAGGGGGGCGCGGCGGGGACTGCCCGCCGCCGCGGGAGGGTCGGGGGGCTGCGGCTGGTGTTGCTTTGCAGCAAGCAATGCCTGCAGTTCCTAGGCCCAGATATGTATCGTGTGTTTATCTTCCCTTCTACACTGATGGAATAAAATAACCTCAGGCAGCTCTGTAACGCGTTGTGTGAATTGGTTTTACATCCTCCTTTCATCTGTTTAGTTGATTCTGTTCTGATAGGAATCACTGTTTGCTTTCAGAAAAGCTTTTTTTTTTTTTTTTTTTAAATGGGAAATGGTGCATACATTGCATCTACTTCAGTTTTGTTGTCTACCTGCACGTAAATCTTGACCTAAACTTCATGGATATAAATTTAAATACTGTTTTCTTTAATATTACAGCTTCATGTCACCAACTATTTACATAACAGTCCTAGAGAATTTACTACAGCCACAGCCCTAAATTCATTGGCAATACCAGGATTAAACAGGTAGAATTTGCCTTTGCAAAACTCAGTAATATCAGCTTTTTTAAAAAAAATACATATTTTTGGCTAAAATTGTGGTCGCTTGGTTTTGGCTTCAAAAGGGATTACTTACGGACTTTAGATGTGGAATATGTGTTTAAAAGGGGATAAAAATGTGGTTCTTTCAAGTATTAACAACCCCAAAAAGACTTACATACCATTTTTCATGTGCTTTACGTGTATCTCAAAACCCAGTTTCAGATGGGAGTCAGAACAATTCCATTATTCTCTGCAAATTTGTATGCATTCTTTTTCCTTATTGAAACTGAGGGGAGGTTTAGATTTTTAAGCATGAAAAGGAGAGGTGTAACTTTTATGTTGATATTTTGGCGCTTACTTATGCAAAGATGGTGTTATAAGGAAGACAACCTATGGCTGACATAGGTGCATGGTATAAAGGTTTTTGTGAAGTTAATGGTAAGGAAATGAATCAAGGATCCTGAAGTTGACCCTTATATTGCGAGAATTTACACATGATGATAATGTAGCAATCGCCACTGAATCGGGAAATCTGATAGTGGTCAGGTCCTCTTCTGTTCTTGCAGCTCTAAGTATATGAGCATCCAAGGATGGGGCGTGAAATGCAGAACTAATTTGAGGTCTGCTGTACCTTGAGCTTCGTAAAAAATGTGTACTCCGTCCTTGGGAAGCAAAACAACTGAAGTTGGTTGAGAAGAACTGGTACTAAGAACTTTAATGAATTTTATGGGAACAAACTGCATTTCAAATCGTCCTGTTTAAAGGGCTATTTCAGGCTTCTGCATGTTGATGGCAAACCTCCTGCTATGCTGAACCAGGTTAGTTTCACTCTTGACTCTAAGCAAGCAGAACTGTTGATTACGTGTTAGGAATGAATAGAAACATTTTGTTCGTGGTTGGGTACAGAGAACAAATATGAGATTTCCTCACTTTCTGTACTGTTTGTACACTGAGCAACACTAACCAAAACATGCGAATACACATAGCTGTGCCATCTCCCTTGCTGTGGTTCTTTCAAACAAAGTGTATCTTCTGAGGGTAATCTTTGTATTTTTGTATGCAGGTTCTCTTATCCTCCTTTTTGTCAATGCCTTGCCCTGGGAGTTGTCCCAGTGAAGCCAGAAGGAGCAGCAATTGACTGCATTAATATTCAGTATTAGTATTTTGCATCTTCCATGTACAAGCCTTCAGACTGTGCTGTGGGGCTGTTTGCATCCCGAGCACTGGAAATCTCTGGATGGAAGGAAGACAAGAATGCTCGCTGCTGCCATTGGGATCAAAACATTCAGTCTGAGCAGAGTATAGATGGGAAAATTCCCCGTGAACAAAAAGATTGCAAGTTTCAGGGCTTTGTCTGTTGAATCCTGCTCTTGGATCTGCAGTTCACTTTGCAGGGAAAAAAATAAAAAAATAAAAAATACCCTGAAACCTGAAGGGAAAAAGGGTTAAAGATCCTTCCCTTTCACCTTACGCAAATATGCAAGAAATACTTGGACAAGAATGGCATGTCAGGAGTGCTGCTGGGCAGGAGGGACAGCTGTTTGTTTTTTATCCTCCCCCAGAGTACAATCTATTTAAATATTTACATGATCTCTTGCTAAAAGGCTTTCCTTTCTTTATTGTACTTTTGTGGTTCATTATGAAGTTAGGAATGGAGAAGAGGGAGAGGTTTGTAACTGTTCCCTCTTCTACTTTGTTGAAAAAAATCTGTTTTTTATATACTCTGAGAAATATTATAATGTTTTCTAACCACTTTAAGTAGTTTTGCAGAGGTTTGTACTTTGCTGTTTGATAATACTGCTTCTTCCTTTCACGTTTTATATATTTTACAATCTGAACAGGCTACCTGAATACACAGTAAAAACAAGAAACCTTGGACAATACAGCCTTGCACAGAAAGCAGTAGAAGGCTCATATGTAGATAATTTCAGAAGATTAACAATACACATAACAACAACAACATAATAATAATAATGTAAACACAGAGATGACATATTTCACATTATATTAATAATATAATGTCACTAGACGCTTCACTCGTTAACGTACAGCTCTGATAACCTCAGTCGCCCTCTGTGTGTATGTTCTGCATAGACTACTAGGTCACTGCATCTAAAATAGTAGGGATGTTCAAGACAATGTATTTTTAAGTGTGTTATTTTAAAGAATGAGCAATATTTAGTGTCATTGAACATCTTAGGTTACAAAGCTCTTACAGGAAAGTAAATATAGAGCTCCTCAGGCTCCAGAGGAAAGACTCCTGCGAGTGGTTACTATTACACCTAGGAAATATCTTTTAAATTCAATAGATCATAGGAGAATACAGTTAAATATAACTGTAGTCTTTGTTGGACTGAGGCCTTGATCATTAACTACAGTTCAAATTAAAAGGTTCTTCACTTCAATGTCAAATGAGTTTTACCAAGAACGTGTTGTGCACATGATACAGGCCTTCAAGACACACTTTGAAGTAACTTTTACATGAGCATCTCTTTCTTTTGATAACAGTAAGTACACTGTCTTGTCATCTTTAATTTTGTCAGAAAAGGCAACTGTACAAAAGCAATAATCTGTTTGTTTTTGAACAATAATACAGGTGCATGCTAGGTAGCCTCCAAAGACCGGATTCACTACCCTCTGCGAAGGGACTGGCAGAACTCCTAGAAGCTTTCGCAAGGCTGGGACCTCACTCACAAAAGTGTGCAACTCTGTAATCATTATTTTGGAAGCAATTCTTGCTCTTTTCAATAACTACCTCTATAATCCCCTTGCCAATGTCTCGGGCAGCAGTTGCAATTAAAAATTAAGCAGAGAATATATCCTTGTATATGTAGACCCTGGGGCAGGAAAGCCTTTATCTATTTTATCTGGCTATATGGGAAGATCTAAATCTCCAATAAATACAGCTAGATTTTACTTGGTACTCGCAACTCTTTTCAGCCTGGACAAGAATCAGCGTTTAATGTTGAAACGAGATGGACAACTACAAATCCCAGGGAGCACTGCTGTCAGCAGGTTTGTGCCAGCGGATTGGCATGCTGCAGGGACCAATGGCAGGCAGAGAAATCACGAAAATTCATGTGTGTCAGCTCTCTCTATTAAAAAGCGCTGGAGAGAGCTGCGGACCTGTGGGGAAATTGCCTGTTTCCCCGGGCTACTTTTAAACCTGTTTGTAAGCTTTGTATTAATATTGTTTTTTACACCCCCTGTGCCTCAGCTTGAAAAAGCCCACTGGACTAGCCCAGATGGATGCAATTTTGAACTGCAGAGCAGATGATTTGGAAGATTACTACAACTTGCTAGGATGTGATGAACTGTCTACGGTAAGAGCCTTCCCCACCTCCCCTCCAGGTTAATAACATTTTGAGTGTGCTTGTGTATCTGCGGGGAGGATTTGAAGTCCTTTATCTCCCAGGGTAGGACTATTTGAAATGCATTGCAAACCTTCCTTCTAGCCACTTTTATCTTTTATTAACTTCCTTTGCAATGCTCAATTTTCTGATCTGTCTGCCTATGTTCAGATCCTAGAATAAAGCTCTCATGAAAAATGTCTTGTAAACCAGGATTGTATTACAGATATAAGTGAAATAAAGGTTTCTTCATCAGTTTAGTTCAACATAGGATATGGTTATGAATTGTGAGCCAACTGCATAAATTTGACAACATGCAAATAATTTTGGAATACCTTTACAGTTTTAAAAGATGAAAAAAGCTATGTATATGCAACTAATTGAACATTCATAGCTGTAGATGACAGATAATGCTATCAAGTTGCTCAAGTATTTATCTTATACTTTTTCATTTTTTAAAATTGTATTAATTTGGGTAGAAAAACATTTTTTTTTCATTCATTTTACTAACGATTTCTAGATGATAATTTGCCTTCAAAAACTAGTTTTAGTAATTTGTTTTGGTAGCAGGTACATACTTTAGGGTGAGAACTATGTAAGCAATTGTTGAATGATTTGTAGGTAAGCAAGTCATTTTCTTTGGAAAGATGTCTATACATTTTTTTTTTTATAGAGTTAGGGGTGTGCTAATATTTTTAATCTGTCTGCTCTGTTTACTGGAACTAGGTTCAGACTTTGGAAAGGGAGTTTTGATTACTCTGCTGTAATTAATGATATATTCAGCATGGATAAAAGCTATATTTTGCTCAGTAAATTTAATCACATGCTTTCCTTTGTCTTAGTAGTCAAATGCTGGGATAACACCTCTGTCTCTTTTATCACTGTAGGCAAATCAGTGAGCATCTTTGTTCTGTGGCAGACGGTAATTTTTCTCTTTCCTGAGAAAATTCTCTTTTCCTGAGATAACTTCCATGTTCCATCCCAGCAGAGGGCAGTATTAAAGTTCCTGTCGAGGCTTGTTTCACAGATGCTTTTTCTCATTTTCTAGCTCATATTAATTCCTTATGGGTTTATTAATTAATGAATAATTCGAACACATGAAATAATGATTTGTCAGATTGCTTCAAATTAAATTTAAAAGGTGAAATGACTGCTAATGAGTCCTGAAAAATAATCTGTCAAGTACTATCTATTGAGAGAAGCAGCAGATGTTACAAGATTATTTTTGACTTCAGAGTATGAACTGAGATCCCAGTTTGACTGGGCACCATGATTGCCTTGTCTCAGGATAGTGCACATGACTACTTCTAGCTTTAAAAAGAAATTCTAAGCATTACAGATATTTTGCAATCACACTAATTTGTGTAATCAGAGCATTAACATTGTAGTGGTACAGGCTTCTATGGGTTCGTCTTTAGGCAGAAGCAAATTTACTCTTACACGCTCTCAGCTGCAGTATTTTTGTGCAAGGTACTGAATATTCTGTTCTTGATCTGACCTGCTTAAATTGGAGCACAAATAATCTCAATTTCTTCAACAGCATTTCTCTGTATTCAGGTAAATACCTGTGTACATTCTTGGCTTCTTGAAGAACTGAGCTCATAGACAACTACTTCATCTTCAGGAAAGAGATCTCTTTCCTACATCCTTCCAAGAAAAATGTTATTCATATCTAGTGGGTTTTGAATAACTTTCTTGGTAGAACATATCATTGAATAATTTATGTAAATTTAACGTATTTTGTATATCTGACTTAATCTTGAAATACTTCATTTATGTTTTATGTGGACAGCAGGGTCTGATGGATGAGAAATTCGTATGAACAGCTTTTCCAGCATGGAAAAAATAGTAGCTAGTTGATATTGTAGGATAAATTGTTGTAATAGCTTGAGCTGTACAAGAATGATTCAAAAAAGATTTGGCATATGAATTGTAGGATGAAACAAGATACTCTGAAAATCTAAGCCTGTCTCCAACTCCAGGGGTTTCCTGTGTTTTGTTAGAAGTTAAATGTCGCTGCTTCTCCACAGCTTATAATAACATACGGCACTATAAACTGTGTGGGAGCTTGTGAATAATATAAACCAATACCTTTCAATATTCTAATATTGGTTACAAATTTATTCTATTCCAAGCCAACCTTTTGCCCAGAAAATAAACTTGACAGGTTTTAACTTGACAGGTATTAACTGCTCCTTGTCCAGCCTTGTGGTATGCAAGGTAGATAAGCCATGTGGCACTGGCTAAGTTTCCTTGCAGAGGATGTGGAGAAAGCCATCCAAACCCACAAACTGATCCTTAGCAATACAGGCTTTTGCTTCCTGCAGTGAGATTTTGTGAAATGATACAGTTGATTAAACAAGATGAAGAGCAACTGAAGTGATACGTTTTACTTGTGTGTTCAGAAATAAGGAAGGGGTTTTGCACACATCAACTTCACATATTTTTCTTAAAGCCAGCTCACTATGTTGGGTGGCTAAGCTTCATAAAACCAAAAGCAAGGATGAGTGCATAGGCATTGAAATTAAATAAGCAGTGTCACTGACAGATGGTTGTTACCTGTTTTGCCTGTACTAAAAATGAATAGAAAAAATCAACATTCTCAGTTGTTCCTCCCAACTCCTTTCAGAGAGCAAATCTGAAAATCTTTAATGTATTTATGTATTTACTCACTTTAAATCTTGACATTCCATTTAGGTTGAACAAATTCTTGCAGAATTTAAGATTAAAGCCCTTGAATGTCATCCTGACAAACATCCTGGAAACCCCAAAGCAGGTATGTATTCTTCCCTATTTTTTCATAAGATAGCTAAGGTGACTAAGACAATAAATTTAGCCTTAAAATTTTAGTAATTGTTCTCTTGCCCAATACATTTTAAACATCATGTGTATTTGAGTGTATTCTTTAATTAGCAATCCTTAATATTCTGTTGAAAACTTGCACACTCCTAGGTGGTAAGAGCAGAAAGTCACTTGTAGTGTTTTCATTTCTAGGAATATCATTATTTTTTTTCCTATGGTAAAGCATCTTCTAATCTAGAAATTGTTTATGGAGTGTATCCCTTTCTAGAGTTCTGAAGCTGGCCTGCTTCCATGCTCAGTGGCATTCAAATGCCACACTTGCGTCAACTAGTTAATTTGCTTCCACGAACAAGCCCATCAGGAGCATATTAAATGTAGTTTAGTTTCTTTTAATGTGATTTAATGACTGGAAATAAAAGAGAACCTGGCACCACGTGAGTAGCCATCTGTTTGCAGAACATCAGCTAACATCTGAGTTTATGAAAGCATGCATGCAGTTCTTCATATCCAAGCTGTGCCTGCGACATCTAAGCAGCACCTGAGTTATTTGGAGACAGTCTTACCTAGTTGTAACTAAAGGATGGCTCTCATTGATGCTCCCCTCTCTCTGAAAAGTTTATATTCTTATAATAAAGGCCGTTCTGATCATAACTATGGTCCCCACTAAAAAATGGTTGTAGAATAATCAAATATACTTCTTATTTTGCTTAATGCATGCAAATTTTTCCCTGGGATCCTTCCTATTAGTTTAGTTATAAACTGAACAATACAGGCTACCCACTTCTGGGAGTTTGACCGCATCCACACCCTCCCCTGGGACGGCAGAGCTATGAGTGTAGTGGATGTTACAGGCGACTCCCACTCCACTGCCTCAAGCAGAACTCTCAGCCAGCTTGGCTTTTGCTCTTGAAGTGCCACCCAGGTCTAGTTTCAGTGAGTTCACAAGGCAGGGTTAAAAGGCAGAATAGGTGGGATTTTTCACTCTGATATTCCCTGCCAAGGAACCCCATTTGATTTGGCATTTGAAAGACAATCTACCACCTATTAACAATAGCCTCATCGCTAGTCTTTAATTCATTAAAAATGGTAGCACAAGTACCAGTGGAAACAATGGAATAGAGTTTGTCTGCAGCAAATTCTGACTCTTATGGCAAGGAAATGGGAGACTGCTCCACTGCATGTTACCCCTGCAGCAGCTCCCTCTAAATTCACTGAAACTCAGTAACTCAAAATGGGAGGCCAAGTGCCAATGTTGGAGAAGCTTTGTCAAAAAGAAATATTTTATACTCTATTTAACACGATCATCCTGCCTTTACTTTAAATACCTTTTTACAGTACTGGTGAAAGTTTATATTTTTGTTTTCATCTGTTTAACAAAGCTCAGTAAAGAGTAATTAAAGTAACTTTTTATTTGTTGAAAACTAGTGACACTAGAAGAAGGAAACCTCAGAGAACTGCCTCCCCAGCCTGTTGTCTGTTGTTTGATTTATGGTAATCAATTTTGATTAGTGTTTGGGCTTAGCGTATTTCAAAAGAAATCTAATTTGTGAAGTGGAATAAATGAATAATAATAGTCATAATAATAGATCACCGTAACGCAGGTGACTCATAGATAAAATCTAAATCTTTATGACCCTTCTACAAACAGTAACACGCAGCTGCATCCTTAGTAACTATGTAATGAAAAATTATCCTGTAGGATAATTTTGTAGGAAAACTAAGGGCTCTCATTCATGCAGACTGGTATCCAAGATAATATTTTAGCATATGTGGAAAAAATATCCAATGAAACGCACAAGTTAGTTAATTTGCACTATATTTAGGTTCCTCTACATGCTTGTCATGTCTGCTTGTCAATTTAGCTTGCATTGCTGGCAGCTCCCCTTTCACATCTGAATTAATTTATTTGAAAACAAGTGTTGGCTTTAGCATCTTTTTGGTTTGTGTTCTAGTGGAGAATTTCCAGAAGCTGCAGCAAGCTAAGGAGATTCTTATTAATGAAGAGAGTCGAGCACGCTATGATTACTGGCGGAGAAGCAAAATCACCATTCCGTTCCAGCAGTGGGAGGCCCTGAGCAACTCTGTGAAAACGGTTGGTGGTGTCTAAGGTTGGACATTCAGGAGAGGGGAGGTAGGGCTGGCCCAGCAGAAATGTTCCACTTAGTGACAGGGTGAGTTGCAACACTTCTCCAGATGTAGGTTTTCAGGATGGGGTAGTGCAGGGTAATTTCTAAGGAAACTCAGATAAAATTGGAGGGCTACAGAAGCCTGTTCGTAGAAGGGTTTTAGGCTAGTAGTTCTATAGCAAATTTATTACAGTAACGTAAAAGCTGTTTTCAAATGTTTCATCACTCTTTGCCTTTCTTTGCAGGGATCTTTTATTTGTTTTCAAAATTAAATTAGAACTAGGATCCTTGAACAATATTCTAAATTCCTGAAATGCTGTATTGTCCGTCAGACTCTCTGGAGTTGTACTGCAGCTGTGTTCTAAGACAGCTAACAGCACAAATGTCTGAGAAGCACAAATGACCCTACGAGTCAACCAGAAATGCAGGTTACCTAAAAATGGTGGGAGCAATTTCTTCTGTCACAGGAAACACCGCTGTTTAAATACCATTATTTCCTTGTAGTAAGGAAGTACTGTTGATTTGCACAGTGGCTTAGAGACACATGTTTTGAGGATTGATTTCCTTCCTAATTTTGCTAGTGTGATAATTTGGTGGTGTGTTCCTAGTAGGTCCCATTTCCATTATGTTTGATTATTTTCTCCCTTGTTAGAGTGCATGGTAGTTAAAATGCTACGTGATCAGATACTAAGACAAGTGAACAAATATGTTTTTCACCCCAATTCTGCTTGCCTCAGTTCTGCTTAGGAGTGATGTTTGAGAGCATCTTCAACTGAAGCATCATGCCTGAGTTTAAATGTTTGCTGGAAGTATCCCACCGAGCATAGTTCAGTTCCAAACAGAAATCATTCTGCAGACTTCAGTAGAAAAGCTTTCAAAATACTCCTGCTTTCAGAGAGCATCTTGAAATCAAAGAGATCTTTGAAAAAGGAAAGAGAAGTCACTTTCAATCCTCTTAAAAAAAGTGTCTGAACTCATGATGGAAGAAACTGGACAAAAGACCCTTATAATTACTTGATGTACTCCTACATTTTGTTCTTCATGTCTGCCTCACATAAACTATCCTCTTAAATGCTGTTTGCAATATGTTACCATGCTTTCCTTATGCTATTGATGTGCAAGCTTCTCTAGTATGTGCTTTTTTTAACCATTTATTACCAGAATATAAGAAAGAAAACTTCTGAAAATCTTTTAAAGTATGGGAATTTGTTCTTTGTTTCCTATTTTTGCATTTCTTTAGTCAATGCACTGGGCTGTCCAAAATAAAAAAGACCAAATGCTGGAAGCTCCTGACTTGAATAATAGCAACAACATAACTAATGAGATTTGGACCCAGCAATCTGAAAACGATGAATTGTCAGATGGGAACAGGGAGCAAAAAGATGTTGCAATTCCTGATGAGAAACCACAGTCTTCAAAGAATCCAGACTCCCCAAGTAAGTAAAACCAGCAGTTGCAAAAGATTGCAGTATCCAGACTCTGTCCTGAAACTGAGGCTTTTAGTCATGAGAAATTGTTCTCTGAAGCAACACATTTAATTGGTAGCTTTTAAAATGCGGTTTGGGGCTGGGGTTTTGTTTTAGTTTTTGGATTGTTGTTACTTATTTATTTTTCAAGCTTTCAGACCTTTCTCCCTCCCTACCCTTTGTTTGTCTGCTGTTTGCTAGTAAAAACAAAAAAGGAAGAAGAGGATAAAATAGTTCTTAAACTGAAATGGAAAACTCAAGTTTTCCTGTTAGACTGAAGTGGGTAAAAATCATCAACTATTTTCAGTAATTTTTTTTACAAAATAACTTTAAAGCACATTACATAAAATACATAGTTACTATATACATGTGTTTTTTAAATCCAGTATTTAATACTTATGCACAGTTTGCATCTGATGAGCTCATGAGGACTAAAAATTGAGGCTTGAAGGCTTCTTTTGTTTATTTGTTATATATTTACATATATGAACAACAACAGTGCATGCACCTGAATAAATGTGTGTTTCAAAAGCTGTCATCTGGCTAGTTAGCATTTCCTGTCTATTTTAGGTTAGTATACCTGAATTAAAGTTAGGACACTCTCTGTTCTGTTTCATCCTTTAGGAGTTTCATAATCTTATATTTATATTATCAGAGAATTATTATTAAACCAAGTCCTATCATTTCTTCTCAACTTGATCAAACAGGAAATTAAACTAAACAGGGAGGGAACAAAACCTAGTTTAAACCCAAGTGTTTGTGGAATGCAGAAGATAGATAAAAAGTTGTACAAACAAATGTTGGTGAAACATAACTAAAAATAATATTTAAAAATTGTGCCTTATAACATTAAAGTATTTTGTATTTCAGGTGATTAAATCAGCATTGTCACCTTTGTAAAGGAATCAAATTTCAAAGCAGAGAAAATGTCACCTTAGTCCTTGTGGTAGCTGGCTTGCTTTGCAGGCATCTTCTGTCTTACAAATTTTTAAGGTTTTAATTTATTTTTCATAGATTTGAATGTGAAAATTATCAAACACATTAAATGATTCCTTATTTTACCCAGTGGATGCAAATTACTGTTAATAAATGTGAATATTAGAATGCATTTATTTGTCAGAGCCAGCATGCATATCTGTGTTCATACTTGCTAATGAATGTATTAATGACTTTTTGTTTGCTTTTGCCAAGGTAATTTTATTATACCGGATCCTCCTTTTAAATGGAGATATTTTTAGTTTCTGTCTGCTGGTCAGTAAGAATTACAGACTACAACTCCACATTTCAACCTGAATAAAAGACTTTAACAGTAAGTCTGGTAGTAGGTTTCAGCTTCCTGATATGGGAAGTTCAGATTTTAATATTCACAGCTCATAGATGATAAAAACACAGCACTGGGCCAGAAAAACATCATACACATCAAAACATGGGCCTGAAAAACTCTACTTCTTTGAGTGTGAGAAGAACCAATAAACCTTCTCTTTATGCTGCTGCCTTTCACATATGTGGAGATTAATCCTGTAACCCTGTCTTCTTTAGATTAAGCAAATGTAGTTTTTCATTCTTTCAACAACTCAGTTTTATACTAGTTTATAATAATTTACTTGCCTTTTTCTCTCTCTCTTTTTTTTTTTTCCTCAGGGTTTTCAGAGGCAAATTACTGGCACTTACGTTTCCGCTGGTCAGGGGACACCCCATCAGAGCTTCTGAGGAAATTCAGAAACTATGAGATCTAAAATGCAAAATACGCAGGAGTGTGAGATCGTCTGTTCAACAATTCAGTATTTTTTGCAGCAGCTTTAAGTTATTTGTATTTAGTATTCATTCACTGTGATGTGAACATTGTTTGAATAGATGTCTTAATACTTATCTGTTAACACACGTTCTATGAGCATTACAGATGGAGGTTTTGTTTAATAAGCAAGCTTTAATAAGCAAAGTCCTTTTCAGTATTAACATAAAGTAATTTTGTGTAGTTATCTAATATCTTATATATTGTTTCTTGTATTATTAAATGTTATGTAGTAAGTAGTATTTTTCTCTACACTGTGAGGTAAAAATATACTCTCAGTAGAACCAAAAGTTCATGCTAGACTCCAGGATATTATGCTGTTAAGTGATGATCTTCCAAAAGCTGTATGACAATGAACTTCAAACAAAACTGTGCTTATTTCTAAACTATGTACTTTGGTTATCTTCTTTTATTGCATTGTACTTACTACAGTGATTTGTAATGCATGCATGCACAAGGCTATAACAATACTATAACTTGTTGGACAATTACTTACAATATAAATGCAGTAAGAACCTTCTTATTATCCAGAAGGTCACTGTGCTGGATCAAGCACTCTTAAAAATCACCTGCATTCTTAATAAGTAAGTTTTTCTGCACCAAGTATTTATTTTGGAAGGCAGTTCCAGAACCTCACTTCAGATAGAAACATTCTTGTTACGATTTACTGGTGGACATCTGATACCCCTTGTATGTATGCCAGCATTGTCCTGGCTTGGTAGTAACTGCCCTCCCTGCTGTGGCCTCATATATAGGGCCATATCAGGGTTTGTATGCTAAGTAATGAAAAATCAGGCCAGTTACCATTAATGTGTTTAAAATCTTACAGGTCCAGCTTTTGGTATTTTGAACAAACTTTTAAAATTCTGTTGCACTTGTTCGTTTTGCATTTGCTTCCTTTTTTGTAACCCTGGCTAATATGTCAGTACATGTACTTTTGTGTACACAATTCCATCAGTAATTCTAACAAATAAAGCTACATACATACAGAAAGGGTTGATTTCATTTTTTGAAGTGAAAGCCTCTACTCAATGCAGAGATCTCTCTTGAATTTCTTGTCACTTGTCCCACCAGTGGGGAAATGCTTAAGGCAGTCTGGTTATAAATCCTGGGCATCTCCATGGAAAGTTTTACCTAAAAAAATTGCAGTTTACTCCCAACATGTAAACAATACTAAATGTCTGTTCCTGGAGTGACACATTTGGCCTTGTTGTGCAGTGGTATGATGTGCTCACTGACTTACCATGCTTCTGTTTGATGTGTATTGCTACAAACTGTAACACAAGTACTTACCAATGCAACCCAGAAAATCATGGAATCATGGAGCACTTTGGGTTGGAAAGGATCTTGAAGACCATCCAGTTCCAACCCCCTGCCCTGGGCAGGGCCCCCTCCTAGCAGCCCAGCCTGCCCAAAACCCCATCCAGCCTGGCCTTGAACACCCCCAGGGATGGGGCAGACACAGCTTCTCTGGGCAGCCTGTGTCAGTGCCTTAACACCCTCTGAAGAATTTCTTCCTAATGTCTAATGTAAATCTACCCTTTTTTAGTTTAAAACCATTCCCCCTTGTCCTATCGCTACACTCCCTGACAGAGTCCCTCCCTCCCTTTCCTGTAGCCCCTTTTAGGTACTGGAAGGCTGCTGTAAGGTCTCCCTGAAGCCTTCTTGTCTCCCAACTGAATAAGCCCAACTCCCTCAGCCGTTCTTCATAGCAGAGGTGCTCCAGCCCTCTCATCATCCTCACGGCCCTCCTCTGGACACGCTCCAACAGGTCCACATCCTTCTGTTGTTGGGAACCTCAGAGCTGAACACAGCACTCAGGTAGAGTCCCACAAGAGCAGAGTAGAAAGGGAGATCTTCCTTTCCCTGGTGTCTACACTTCTTTCGATATAGCCCTGGACACAGCTTTTTGGGCTGCAAGCATATTTTGACAGCTCATGTCAAGCTTCTTATCCACCAGCACCCCCAGGTCCTTCCCCTCAGGTCTGCTCTCAGTCCATTCTCTGCTCAGCTTGTATTTGTGCTTGGACTTGTCCCTACCCAGGTGCAGGACCTTGCTCTTGGCCTTGTCGAATGTCAGGAGGTTCAAGTGGGCCCACCTCTCAGGCCTGTTCAGGTCCCTCTGGATGGCATCCCTTCCCTCCAGTGTGTCGACTGTATCACGCAGCTTGGTGTTGTTGGCAAACTTGCTGAGGGAGCACGCAACCCCACTGTCCACGTCACTGACAAAGATGTTAAACAGCAGTGGTCCCAATACTGACCCCTGAGGAACACCATTCGTTACTGATCTCCACCTGGACATTACGCCATTGACCACAATTCTTTGAGTGTGACCATCCCACCAATTCCTTTCCCACCAAGTGGTCCATCCGTCAAATCCATGTCTCTCCAATTTAGAGACAAGGTTGTCATGGGGGACAGTGTCAAGTGCTTTGCACAAGTCCAGGTAGATGATGTCAGTTGCTCTTCCCCACCCATCAACGCTGTAACCCCATTGTAGAAGGCCACCAGATTTGCCAGGCAAATGTGTACATCTTATTAGCTTAATTAATATCATTATTCTGGTGCCAGTTTTCTTTATGGGGCATTACCAGTGTTGTTTGCTGATAGTGGTTACGTTTGCACCAATCTATTTATAAAAGCTCAGAGTAATGCTGGTTTGTTGTTACAGCTACATTGACCCTACCTTTGATGGCATCGGGAGTGACAGCTATTTTTACAACATATAAACTTGCTTATCCAAAATCTTTTGAATATTTCTAGATGCTTTTCCCTTGCATATTTTGTACCTGAAAACATTAAAGGCACAAAAGTAATAATCCTCTGTAATTTCTGCCAAATGTGATTATGTATTTTCTTTTAGTGCACGTGCTGCTTTCCTCTATACCTGCTCAAGACTTCCAGTCCACTTTATCAGAGAGGGACTGTAAATAATGTTGCGTACTGGGAATGGAGAAAACACTAGTCCATAGGAGAGATACATAGTAACAGGGTACAATTTTTCTCTCTTCTACAAAAAGATGGAAGTGCAACCAGATGAATTACCTCAGATCAGATGACATCTGAGTCTTCCCTCCCCATTTCACTAGCTCCTAAAGGTAAAAGTGGATACTTTGATGGATGATTTAGTGCCTAACCAGGTGGTTAACTTTATAAGTGAGCATACACTAGGGCTTTGAACAGACCTTGATGTCACACATGATTAAAACTGGGCTGTTTCGGCAAATCACCTTTGGATATTTGTTGCAGATGTTTGGAAGGTTCTTAGCTCCTCAAAAAGCAATAGAAAAACTTGCATTTTGTAACATACCTGCTACAGATCAATAATTGTATTCATATTTGCCCTAGTGAAGGAGTAAATTACCCTAGTACACTGATACAGACATTTCTTATACTTGCATAGACACTTTAACTTGAAAGGCCCAATTTTCTTTGTTTCCCAACTAGGAGGTGATTTAACATTTCCTAGCAGAGCAAACCTAGCAGCACTGGAAAGCAGGAGGAAGCTGTGCAGCCTCTTTTGTTCTGGGGACAGTACTGGTGTGACCTGACCTGCTCGCCAGCAAGAACAGTGAACTGGAATAAGTGGGCACCCCAGTTCTCCCTCATCTTAATGTGGAAAACAATAAACACCTGACAAATTTCTGTGTTAGGTGATTCAGGACTTTACCCACCTCTCCCCAAGCAGAAGATGCTTTTTCAGCTTGTTTTATATATATATATGTTTTATATATATATATATATATATATATATATATATATATATATATATATAGTGGTTTTAGAAGTCTTGTTGCCAGTAGCATCAAAAGACCAGTAAACATCCCATATGACATTACTAACAATAATGTGGGGCCTTGGCCTCTGCACTTAACATACTTGACATGCTTAAATATAAATTGCCACAGGGGCTGTAAGATGCGGCTCTCAAGCTTTTAAAAAGATAGCCAGATATATGTGGTTTTCTAGCAGCCAAAGAAAGAATTCATCTTCCTCTGCAAAATGGAGACAGCTGCAAAAGAACAGTAATTGCAGGTAGTGCATTAGGATTAGAATCTTTGAACTGCAAGCTGGGAAGAGGGCAGACACCTGCAAAAGCTGCAGGGGAGGGGGATAACTCCTATTTTCCTCTTCAGCACTCCCTATGAGTTAAGTAGATAATAAAGGGTTCTGAATCTGGTGAGTATCTGAGGGGTCTGACTTGGTGTGTCTTGTATTATATAAAATTAATATAGCCTTAATTCCTGCTGTGATTCCTGGTTTTGTGCAAATGCTGAATATATGACTGAGAATGTTCCAGTTCTTCACAAGCTTCTTGTTTTTACCAGTTGTTTTGGTAACACTTCTCAAGTGGCAATGTAAGAATTAAAATGTTGATGATGGATACAAATAGTATAGGACTTAAAACCTCAGGCTGAGTAATGCTGAATGATAGGTAAGGTCATTTCCTGAATGCTTGTTTTATTCTTCAGAAGAGACATGAAAAAAAAAAAAAGGCAGTTTATATGTTCTATAATAGAAGTAAGTATCCTGATGATTAAAACAGATACTGACTAGCTTTAATTTCCTGAGCACGAATATTGCTATCTTACACTTTCATATCCTGAAATGAGACAAGACTGCTGGGAAGGTAAGCAGCAAAGCTGTTATAAAGCTGGTGAAACTACACAGCAAAAGATAAAGTAACTCAGTAAGTCTGAAGCCTCTGTTCCTGTCAGATGGGGTGATACTTATCAGTTAGTTTACGCTGGGTATTTTTATTGCAGCTCAGTGTGTGTGCTTGTGCTGTGGTTATGAGAGTCAGCAAGCCTGCCCCCTTGACGTAGGTGCTGCATGTTTGGTCTTCCACCTTCATTATATTAGTCTATTCGTCCTTCCATGTTAATGAAGATGAGACTCTTCAGGCGCTCTGTTTGTCCCAGCTTTGAAAGGCTTGCGTCTGAATGATTACACTGCAGCACAATATGGAGAATGGGAAGCTTTACAAGTCTTAGGTCTCTGGTGTGTATCAGAACCTGTCACAGGCAATGGATGTTGCAGAAAGGCAATTTATTTTCCCCTCTCTATAGCATCTTCACAGGGGTTTGTTCCTGGTCCTTTCTCTTGGTGGGGCAGTGAAGGAGAAGGGCTACTTCTCTATGAGATTCACTGCCATTATCCAGATTTCCAGTCTGGATGTACAATGTAGTTCTGTTTTGGACATAAAGATTTGCTTGCCTCTTTTTCAAACTGCCTCTGTGAAGACATCAAATGACCCTGAGGCAAGTGATTTGCTACAGCTCTTTTAAGGAGATGGAGTTTGACTTGGGTGGCAGTCCTTACAGAAACTAGATTTACCCCTCAGGACTGTTAGAGCTGGTTCTTTAGTAGCAGTTGATTTCCACGGTACCCCCAGGTTTCTGCTGGGTATAGGATTGCCCGGTCTTCCCCTTTCTGATCCAACAACATTGTGTGCATGATACCTATGGGAAGTGGGGCAGGACCATTAACAGAAAGATTCAGAGGCGTAACAGACTGTTCCAGCTGCTTGCACCATGGTGCCTTTGGTATTTTTCTGCTCCTTGCAGTCCTCGATTCCAAAGGACCTGAGTCCTCTCCAAGTCCATCCTTGACCTGCCACTGCCAAAGGACAAAACTCATTGTTTCAGTATGAACAGATGATAAAAAGGAGCCTGGATATCTTAAGCATCCCTCTGCTAGATGTATGCTGAGCCAGATTTGGGGCAGAAAATTGCACAGATATGTGGAGCAGTATCATGCTGAGCCCACACGTACCATTTGGGGCCTGGACTCTAGAAACAGATTCATTACTGCCCTGCTTTTTCTCATTCTTATAGCTGAGGTTTAAAAAGGGAAGCAAACCAGAACAGTAGCACTCTTAGCTCTCTGCTACAAAATGGAAATCAAAAGTGACAGGAGTCTAGGAGAGAGACCTAGTGGACTAGGACTCTAGTACTGCTGATGTGCATATAGCTTTAGCAGACTGTTTGGCAG